TGCCCTGTCTAATAATTCATTAACATTAAGTATGATAGACATCTAAAATTCCTTGCCTTCTCTTGTGGGTACCAAGTTCAGCTAATGTTAATATACTTAACGAGCCAATATGGCTGTTTTCTTGGATATCCAGGACTTTGTCTGAGAGCAACATAGCTCAGATTTTAGTTCGGTGTATCTAGTGGAGAGAATGTGTTGAAAGGAAGATCCCTACTCAGCAACATAAACATTCAAACCACGCGTCACGTCACAGTTGTGAACACATGTTCGCATTCTCAACTACTGGGATTCGAAGTCGGCTGTTGGCAGAAGACAGTCTTGCGTTTAATATAACAACTTTATGATTGTTGTACCGTTAAGAAAACACTTGTATTACTGAGCGTAAATTCGATGGTACTATCACACAACAGCCAATAAATGCTAGGGCTAGTCTTCGATGTTCCCAATGTGGTTATCATCTTTGCGACCTCGGGAAGGAAACCCTATCCCATGCAATAATAGTGTTATAAACCAAACTATATATTCAGTAAAAGATCATTTTGGTTGCATTTTGGTCCTTCAGTAGGTCCATCCAGCCTAAAATAGGTAACAAGCTGGCTGTCCTTGGGAAGTAAAGACGGGCGGCGTAATTGCTGACCACATTACCCACCTAGTGCCAATAGTCTGTAAAAAATATGGGAGCTCCTCCCATATACCCGATACGCCTAAAGGCGTGAAAAGGAATCTTCAATTTACCTACTATTTGTCCTTAAATAAATTAAACGTGATATTTCCGTCTCTCTTTCGACATTTTCTACTTCAGTGTGGCATAGTCTAGTAGCGCCGATGCCATTTTATCCCTCGAAAGCTTGAACAACATGAATATTTTGTTGGGACTTGGTTTATTTAATTTAATAATCTTGTCAGGGTTGAGACCAAAGTCAGGACAGTGACCAAAGTCAGGGTTGGGATCTAAGTCAGGGTTGGGACCTAAGTCAGGGTTGGGACCTAGGTCAGGGTTGGGACCTAAGTCAGGGTTGGGACCTAAGTCAGGTTAGGACTTAAGTCATGGTTGGGATCTAAGTCAGGGTTGGGACCTAAGTCAGGGTTGGGATCTAAGTCATGGTTGGGACCTAAGCCAGCGTTTGGATCTAAGTCAGGGTTGGGACCTAAGTCAGGGTTGGGACCTAAGTCAGGGTTGGGATCTAAGTCAGGGTTGGAACCTAAGCCAGTGTTGAGATCTAAGTCAGGTTTGGGACCTAAGTCAAGGTTGGGATCTAAGTCAGGGTTGGGACCTAAGTCAGGGTTGGGATCTAAGTCGGGGTTGGGACCTAAGTCAGGGTTGGGATCTAAGTGAGGGTTGGGATCTAAGTCAATGTTGGGATCTAAGTCAGGGTTAGGACCTAAGTCAGGGTTGGGATCTAAGTCAGGGTTGGGACCTAGGTCAGGGTTGGGACCAAAGTCAGCGTTGGGATCTAAGTCAGGGTTGGGATCTAAGTCAGGGTTGGGATCTAAGTCAGGGTTGGGATCTAAGTCAGGGTTGGGACCTAAGTCAGGGTTGGGATCTAAGTCAGGGTTGGGACCTAGGTACGCTGCGGGGTTAACTGCCAACTTTCTGAGGTAAGTTATTCTTCCTCCTCCTTTCCACCCCCACCTCCTACTCTTGCCGCTCCTCCTCTTCGTCGTCTTCTTCTTTTTCTTCTTCTTTTGCGGTATGATGTACAGCTAGGATGCGAAGTCTTATTTGCCATATTTTACGACATTCTTGGTAATAGGCAGTGGGTTTATTCTTCCTCGGCCCCAAAATGAGGCATTGGAATCCAGACGGACTGGTATTTGTTTACATGTACAGCGATCCAAAGGAATCTTCATCTCACAGCTCTTGTCATTTTAGTGTAGGCACCCGATCGACTACACAGATCTAACAGCTGACGTGTTAGAGACCATCAGATTAAGAACCCTTTCACCAAGTTTAACGAACAAGCAAACTACTAACTGACAGACTGACTTTCTACCCCACCAGGACATAACACAAGCGATAAACACCCGATGACACAATGTGCCACTATGCGAGTGAGAATCACCGTGGAGAGGTCCCAGTAACCGCGTTTAGCCTTTAGGCCATATTTATGGCCAGGCTATATTGCGGCCCCTGGCAAAGCCAGAGTAAGGCTTCAAATAACGAAAAATTCATCCTGGAAAGGACGGGGAGTAACACATGATAAACTAAGCAAATTACAAGCTTATTTTCTCTGTTATACCGAGCTGGGGTTGAACACTAGGAGAACTTGGCTGAAATTGCCTACATTGTCGCTACGATTCTGCCTAACGCTTCAAAGCGTCAGGGGAAGATAGGGCGCTTTGATCTCGTGACAATAGACTTCCTTGTTGTCTACCTTGTCAGGTTCCAAGTCTGTCGCTTCCTAACAAGTGGGAATATGACACAAGAACGCCGCCGAGTTAAAACCGTTATGTCATTCTCTATATAGGATACAACTTTAGGGTAATTTTAGGGTATTGTTTAAGGTGAATGTATTCAAGAGGTAGGATCCACCTCTTGTCATTTTTTTAACGCTTCGTCGACCGGGTCGCCCATTGGCTCCCTGGTAGACGACTTCGTCGTTGTTGGGAACTGTTTTTGGATCTGTCTCCTTTGATCGCGTAAACACTGCAGGAATTATTTTTAAGGCCCTTTGTGGCGTGCAATGCTAAGCCATTTTATATAACGCAAATAACCTAGCCACAATTATAAAATAAAGCTACCCCTTCGGGGATGCTGGGTGAACGTGTTCAATTTTCTTTCTCCAGCAAACCGTTTCCTCCTCCCTTCCTTCTTCTTTCTTCTTCTTCTTTCATCCTCTTCTTCTTCTTTTTCTTCTTCCTCCTCCTCTTCTTCTTCTTCTTCTTCTTCTTCTTCTTCTTCTTCTTCTTCTTCTTCTTCTTCTTCTTCTTCTTCTTCTTCTTCTTCTTCTTCTTCTTCTTCTTCTTCGTCTGCTTTTTCTTCTTCTTCTTCTTCTCTTCTTCTTCTTCTTCTTCTTCTTCTTCTTCGTTTTCTTCTTCTTCTTCTTCTTCTTCTTCTTCTTCTTCTTCTTCTTCTTCTTCTTCTTCTTCTCTTCTTCTTCTTCTTCTTCTTCTTCTTCTTCTTCTTCTTCTTCTTCTTCTTCTTCTTCTTCTTCTTCTTCTTCTTCTTCTTCTTCTTCTTCTTCTTCTTCTTCTTCTTCTTCTTCTTCTTCTTCTTCTTCTTCTTCTTCTTCTTCTTCTTCTTCTTCTTCTTCTTCTTCTTCTTCTTCTTCTTCTTCTTCTCCTTCTTCTCCTTCTTCTTCCTCTTCTTCTTCTTCTTCTTCTTCTTCTTCTTCTTCTTCTTCTTCTTCTTCTTCTTCTTCTTCTTCTTCTTCTTCTTCTTCTTCTTCTTCTTCTTCTTCTTCTTCTTCTGCTTCTTCTTCTTCTCCATCTTCTGCTGCTTCTTCTTTTTCTTCAGCGTTCAAATATTAGCTGGTTTAATTTCAAACAGGCTACCTGCCTATGGAGACTAGCGGTGGCGCAGAAGCTAGCCCACTTGTTAGACAGCTATGTGGGCATGACTAAAAAAATTTTTTTTTGAAACTTTCCTTGGTTTCCAGGTTGATCCAACCCAATTTAGGTATCAAAAATATTTTGGGAAGTGAATGTACTCAATGTGAAACTGTCTACATCAACACAGTGACAATTGATTCATAACGCTATGAAGAAAGCACCAAATAAACATTTTCTCAAAGCGCGAAAGAGCTTTTTAATGTGTGTGCAATAATGGGTCTATATCTTGTATAATCAAAAGCTCATGTCTACATCCCTAATGTTAAATCAGCTGAAAGAGTGGTTTACTGTCAATGCAGTTCTTTGCTTCTAAGAAAAATATAGAAACATAGCAAAAGGTTGGGGGGGGGGGATGTGGGGGTGGCGCAGTGCAATGGTGCTGGTCACAATCCAGAGGTCCAAGAACCAAAATCATGGTCTGGTTGTGTCGTTCCGTGCTCGGGCGCAGCCTTTACCTAGATCCTTGGGGATCTTTGCCGGAGCTGTGGAGTTAAGCTTTTAGGGCTGCACTGGGCAGGCGCCCAGTGGTTATGATGGGACAGTCTAAACTATATGCGATAAAACTCGGTGCAATGAAATTCATCATCTCTGCTTGAGCTTTAACAAAAAGAGAAGTTGAAAACTGTCATTGTAGACATGTGGCTCATCAATGACTACTCATCTCTTTTAGTCCTAATCCAAGCAAGATGAGTTACCACTTGTGGTCTGCATGTTCCAATAAATATAATCTGATATGTTGTGTCCTCTAAGCATTCTCTAGAAGACTAGTTGTTGCAAAGACTATTCAAGAGATGCTAAGCTGCACATGTGTCAATAACACATTCAAATTGGGATTTTATGCATTGAAACTATTTGGGGGGAAAAGGGGGGGGGGTGAGTTAAACACATACTAAACAAGAAATGGAGACAGCCATCCATTGCTGCAAGCAGAGTAATGCTACAACATGTATGCTTGCTTTCGGATCACGATAAAAAAATCTAAACTAATTGCATCAATACTACTTAATTGGGTAGCTAAGTATTTAAACACATCACATAGGCCAGGGGCTGTTAGGGTTGGTTCTGCAACGTCCTGTAAAGGATACACAACTATCCTAACATAGGCTTAGTCTTGGTCGAGGTTTCAATCTCACTGCAATCAGATTTCCCCATACTTGCTCTGTTCCCGTGCCAGCGCGAATCAAACTGTCCAATTTGAGAAACTGGTGAACAAATAATTAGTTCCAGATCAGTCAAGAAATATGTGTACGCAGTAAATGCGTATAGCAGTTGCTAGAGGTGCCAAAGCCAACAGTCGCCACTAGAAATGCTGTTTGTCGTTGATGGAAGTAGTCGGGCACGATAAGTTGGCTATAAGCACATAGAATTATTACATAGGGGTTTTCCCTAGATCAAACGTAAATCGGACATGGACCATTCAGCACATACTACATGAGAAACAAACACACACCGCTTACCTCTACTCCAGACTCTGCCGTGCCGCCATCATTCTGCTTGCTCTTCAGATCTTTGATGGTTCGGTTAAACCGATCAGTCTGACAGCCGAGTTGCTTTTGCAAGAGGGTCACTTGCTGCAGCAGAAATTTCTCTCTCTTGGAAAACTTGGTGCTCATCACCGACAGCCTCTCTTCCACAGACGACAGCACATTCTCCTGATACTTCACTAGCTCCTTCAGAGCCTGGTAACAGTCGTGGTCGTTGGCTGTGTGCAGGTAGAGTGTGAGACCACAGCCTTTATCACAATCCCCGACTTCCCGGCACGGACATGTTTCTTTTTCATGGAGATTAATCTCCCTTAACGGAAACACTTGGTTGCAGCCGGAGTTACCGCAAACGACGGGTTGATACCCACATATCTGTGTGTGCGCAATCAGATCGGTTAGCCTAATGGCTTCTTTGCAACCTTGCTCGAAAAATTCACATTTTACTTTCAAATTAAGAATCACTTCTCTCAAAGGCAGCACATTTTCCAGGTCGGCTGGGGCTAAATTTCTACACTTCTTTGGGCACTGTCCATGCGTGATGACCCAGGGAAGGATACATCCTGAACAGAAGACATGACCACAAGACGCTCTCACCGGATTGTCTAGCACCCCGTAACACAGTAAACATTTCTTATCCTCAGCTACGCTGGTGACGAACTTAGCGCTGTCAAATCCCATGTTGGCTGTGCTTGTGCTATAGGTTTAGTTACTGTTGTTACCTACATAATTCACACGTTTTAATGTTAGTTGCATGTACGTTTCAAAAATCGCAACAAATACCACTCCTTATCGACTGCTTGTTTTTACTATGTAACTATCCGTGCAATAAGTTAATTCACAAGTTCACATCAGCTGAACACTTTCGAAAACTGTAAATCACACAGTTGAGAGAACAGATCACTCATTTGGTTAACGTTCTATCGCGACAAGAGTAATGCTCACTGGAAAAGTAAGTATATCAGAAAACAGTTTCACATTGTAGATGTCACTGACCTGTCTTCTCTGTTGCTTCTCTTGATCATTGTTCACTTCCTCTACTTCTGTGAGTACTGATCAATACTTGAGAATTTAAATTTATTTCTCATGCTACACTTTATGAGAGAGTCGCAGCGACAGAGCGGCTAGACGCTCGCGTGCTGATCGGAAGGTCGTGCGTTCGCTCCCTGGCGGAGCCGGACTTTTTTCAAAAATTACCTTGGCTCCCAGGTCGACCCAGCCAAGTGGGTACCGGGTGCAGTCCCGGGAATTAGAGGCGGCCGGCATGATGCTGACCACATCACCCATCTTGTACCGATTGGTCTATAAAATATAGGTCTAGCCCCATATGCCCTATACACCTAAAGGCTTGGGAAAAGGTCCTCTAATATATATATATATATATATATATATATATTATATATATATATATATATATATATATATATATATATATACATATATATTTTACTTTTACTTCAACCTTATGAACGTGCAAAAAGAAGAATACGTGCAACGTTTGACAACAAAGTCTGGTGCACTTTTTGGGTGAACGAGTGTGAGAAATAAGAGGCAGGTGGCCCCTGACAGATATTCATTAAAGAAAAATATAAATAGAGAAGAAAGAAAGAAAAGAAAGAAAGAAAGAAAGAAAGAAAGAAAGAAAGAAAGAAAGAAAGAAAGAAAGAAAGAAAGACAGACAGACAGACAGACAGACAGACAGACAGACAGACAGACAAGCAGACAGACAGAGCAGACAGACAGACAGACAGACAGACAGACAGACAGACAGACAGACAGACAGACAGACAGACAGACAGACAGACAGACAGACAGACAGACAGACAGACAGAAAGAAAGAAAGAAAGAAAGAAAGAAAGAAAGAAAGAAAGAAAAGAAAGAAAGAAAGAAAGAAAGAGAAAAGAAAGAAAGAAAGAAAGAAAGAAAGAAAGAAAGAAAGAAAAAGAAAGAAAAAAAAAAAAGAAAAGAAAGAAAGAAAGAAAGAAAAGAAAGAAAGAAAAAAGAAAGAAAAGAAAGAAAGAAAGAAAGAAAGAAAGAAAGAAAGAAAGAAAGAAAGAAAGAAAGAAAGAAAGAAAGAAAGAAAGAAAGAAAGAAAGAGTGCTACAGTGTGTAAAAAAAAAAAATTGTGCAATTTGCATTTAGGGTTGAGCTCGCTTGGGAAATCCTGCACATTGAATGGTCATTACTCCAATACGACTATAGTAGTTTTCTTTCCCTAGGTTTAGGTGACGGAAAAACATCATGGCACAAGTGTAGTAACCCATAAATGCTCCGTTCAACTTCTGACTCAAGCCTGAGTACGAAGAATCTCAGCGCCGTGCACGATCCCTGTAGCACCAACGAGGATCTTGAAATACTTTAGGTAGACTTTAAACTCCAAATTTTACCCGTCATCGCTGTTGGGCTACTCTTTTTTCGCTCTCCAACTGCCAAGGAAATATGTACAGGCGCAACAATACACACGGGCGTCTGATCTTACTACCAAGAGACCAGAAAAAAATTACTAGAAGTCTATGTGAAAAAATCCTAGCCTTCACCGAGGTTTGAAACCGAGACCTCCAGCACTCGAGACGGACGCCATGCCTCAAGAGATCACAGATACCCCGTTTAATCGCCACACAAAGTTTTAAATAGGGCACCTGCAATAATAACACCATTCAGGTGTCATCTGCAGTCATGTAAAGGTAACAACGCTGTGACCTGTTTATTCGGCAAAATTTTTAACGCGTAACCCTTTATGTGTATAGTGAGTCGCCGTGGTGTAGCGGCTAGAATCTCGCCCGCAGGTCAGGAGGTCGTGGGTTCGGGTACTGACACAGCTTGATATTTTGGCTTCTAGATCGACTCATCCTTACGTGGGCACCAGGTAAAGTCCTGAGACGTAAAGGCGGTCATTGTAAAACTGACGTCATCAATCACTAAGTGCCAATTGATCTATAAAATAGTGTCCTATGTGAGCATGTTTCAAAGTCATTTATATAAATATACTAATAGCTAGTGTTTTGAGCAATCGAATCTCAAAAACAATCCTGTAAGGCTCTGGAGAGGGAAAAAGGACGAGGCAGACTAAGAAAGACTTGGTTACAGAACCTGACTGACTGGACAGGCCTCAGGCATGCAACCATGGAGTCCATCGCAACCGACCGTCAAACGTGGAGAGAGCTGATCAGTCAAAATTAACTGGTGACCCTACGACACGTTTGTTAAGAGATGATGATTTTAAAAAAAAATAATATCCTAACCCAGATAACGTCACAGGAAAGGTTAACAGAGGGTGGTAAGACTGGGTTTTCCGGCTTTCTGATGCTTTTAACAACCACAGAACATCAAGAACTGGCCCTAACCCCAACCTACCTACCCTAGGGGTACTTTACCCTTGGCTGTTAAGTGACCCACGACCCAGCGAATGAAAGAAAGTACTTTATATCTCTAGGTCGTAGAGTTGACCCTACCCTGCTACCAGATCTGTTGACAGACACGATGCCCACACCACACGGCATGCACTCAGAGAATCAGAGAAGAAACTGTCTTTGGAGAAAAGGGAAAAAACATCTTACGCGCTAGATAAATAACAATTGGAAATGAGCAGGAAATCCTTAGCAGAAGCGATCATGTTGGCAAGAGACAAACGCGTGTGGAAAAGTCAACTCCCAGTGCAAAGTGAGCTGGTGCCCAAACAATCTACGAAATCTGTGGAAGAGTCCAAGCAAGGAGCTACAGCGACAGGTACTACACTCGTATTGTCCAGTGTGAGAATTTCCTATGCACTAGATTAAGACATCAAGTGTGAAGTGACCACTTGTCTTTCGCGTGATGTTTTCCTGTTAGTTAGTTAGTTAGTTAGTTAGTTAGTTAGTTAGTTAGTTAGTTAGTTAGTTAGTTAGTTAGTTAGTTAGTTAGTTAGTTAGTTAGTTAGTTAGTTAGTTAGTTAGTTAGTTAGTTGGGATATCATCATTGCACTCCGGACATGTCCATGGGTGCTCAGATCATCCCCTCAGTATGAACCCCAACGTCCGATTGCTAATAGTACCAGTTCTATGTTGATTAACAAGTCTTCTGGCGTGTCTGGTGTGCGTCTTGTTTTTTGCTATGACGATCTTTATTCCCAAGTCTGCCATTCTGGCGCGTGATGTGGATTCACTGCCCCCGAAGTCCTCTATCCTTCCCATTTCTCTGACGACATTAATAAAATCAGCAGTGATATCGGTAGTGATAGCGGATCAGCCAAACTGTCAGCTCTTTCATTTCCATCGACGTCTGCGTGTCCCGGTTCTCATGTGAAAATAAATAATCTTTGATGCCATTAGCCATGTATGGTGGACCAAGAGATGTTTATGTCCAGAGCTTCCACAAATTGACGTTACCTAGTAACTGGGCTGATCACATTTTCCCTTCATTAATTATATTTGCAACCCAACCCAAAATACGTGCCAGGGCCATATAAGGAAGTATTCTAGAAAGTAAAGGTGGTCGGCGGGATTTTGGCCATATCACCCTTTCAGTGCCAGTAGGTCTATGTAAAAAACCACTTAAAGGGGTGACCCACTCTGCTGCCAGGCAAACTTGCAACCTACTGCACTTACATTAACACTTAGTAATAATTAAATGTAAATGTCATAAGACCATTTCACAAAACATACGAAACAAACAAAATAGATATTACAGCACCGTAGGAGGCCTAAAACAAACCACACAAAAAAATTAAAATAGAATATGGCTCTAAAAAAGTTTCAGACATTTGTGTTACACTATATTAATTCAGGTCGACTCTGTGGCTTCGTAATGGCGGGATGCCGGGTTCGATCCCAGCTGAGGGCCATGCACCTTGCGTTGGTTTCGACAGTAGTATCAAGAAAGCCGACCGTCCAGCAAGCAACGGCAAACTACTGGACGTAAATTTGCCTAGAAAAACCACACAACAGCCAGGAGCTGTTGGGGTTGGTTCTGCAACGTCCTGTAAAGGATACGCAACTAACCTATATTATTTCAGACTTTTTACCACACTTCTTCTGATTTAGGATGTAGACAAGAAGAGGGGCGGAAAAGGAAAGGGGGGGGGGGGAGAGACAGGAGAGGATGTTGCAAGAATGCATCATATCCTTATATTTACCAAGAGGTGTTTGTGACTTAGTATCCTATGTCTCATCAAGACTGTTTAGTATCCATTTGATCTCTCTGCAAAACTGTTTAGTATCCAGTCTATCATTCTGCATGACTGCTTAGCATTTATTCCATCTCTCTGAAAGAATGTTCAAAATTCACTCTTATCTCTCGTGGAGACTGTTTAAGTATCCATTCTATCTCTCTGCAAGACTGTTTAGTATTCTATCTGTCATCCGAACCTTTAAAGGCTATAAAATGGTCGCTTCAGAAAACAGAGTGTATCGTAGGAAAATATTAATATTTCTAACTATTTTAAACAATCAAATAAACATGATAATCTTACATTTAAAAGGTTTGTACACGTACTATTTTTCTTTTTACAAAGATTCCGCGAATTCCAGAATTATGAATATATTGAATGTACTTGTCTCCAACATAAATCCAGTGAGTCGCAATATGTTGTACTCACAAACACCCTGGAAGCTACCACAAAATGGAAAACCGTGTCTTCACGTGCCACCCGTAAATTGTTGCTGTTTATGTTTGGGTTATGACGTTAGCACGTAGCGGCAGGCGTG